CTTTGGTGTTCGACTTGCACACTCGCTAAATACGGGCAGGACTTGCACACTCGCTGAACGCAAGCACAGTCGCTGAATGCAGAGGCGGCCTCCCTTGTTTGCTCGACTTTCCACTGTGTCACGCTGCCGGAGACTGGTCGTCGACCTCCTAGGAAGGTCAAAGAAGAAGCCTGATTTTCAAGGCTGTCGCCGGCGCTACCAGAGCCTTGTCGTTCGGCTTTCTTAGGAAAGTCAAAAAAAAAAACGAGTGCCCCGAAGCTCGGTGGGCGCTGTTTCCTGGAAGATCCTGTAAATCCGCATGCTGTACTCCTTGGCGTGTGCCGCGACGAACAAAGTCTGTCTCTGTCACCGAGGCAAAGACCCGACGGAGATAAGGACACCAAGGAAGAAAGCCCAGCCCGTCGCGTGGAGTTCCTCCTCACGCCGGCACACAGGACCTTATTTTCCGCCGTAGGTTTTCTTTCGATACGACACTGGCTCCACGATCGTGTGGCAACAGCCACACGCTGTTGCCTAGGACTCTGAAGCCTGGACGAGGCGACGGTCGCGACCGACCTTCGATTGGAGACCCAACTGCGACTGCGCCCAGCACTGAAGAAGAAAGATTGCGGACCAGTTGCCATCGGCCAGGAGTTTCGGAACGAGTTCCGAGATTGCGGCATGGACCCGGAGGGGATGCGAAAGACCACCAGCCGCGCGCAACAGTAGAACCGGCGTTGCACAGTGGTCGTGGCCTTCGCCCACACGCAGGAACGTGCTGTTCAAGCCGGGGGGGCTTGCTGGCCCTGGCAGCTTGCTGGCCAGGCACATGTCATAGGGCGCCAGCCGCAGCCCACGGCCCACGGCACAGTCACAGTCACAGTCCATGAGCTGGCAACCTTCGAGGACGCCAGGCCGAGTCCAGATCAAAATGTCATCGGCGGCACATCAGGGCGGAGTAAGTGCTCCCACGGGATTCTCCAGACGCGAGATGCGGTTTCGCAAGTCCTGCAGATCAGCTCGAGCCTCATCCAGGGTTCGCATGAGGGAACCGACCTGTCGCTGGAGCTGGTTCGTCCGGTAACGCTCGCGCCCCAGATCCAAGTGGACGTTGATGAGCTCTTCCTCGACCTCACGAAGATGTTTGTCGACTCGCTCGGCAGTCAGCGGGCCAGGCAGGCGGCCAAAACCTCGATCCGAGGGCGGTGAACGAGAGCGATCTGCAGAATCTGGGAGTCGCTCTCCAGGCAGCTCGTCAACAGCAGCAGTGGTCGCCGGAGGCTCAATGATCGTGTCCCCGGCCTCATCATCGTCAGGAGCTGCGCCAGCAAGTGAATGAAACTCCACGAAAGAATGGGCCATCTCTCAGCAGCAGCTGCTACGGCCTAGGGCCCGTGACAGAGTTCTGGGGCCCTTCTAGCAAGACGTGTCTGCCGGGAGAAGGGTCTCCAGTGCCCGATAAGAGGAGCCGAAACTAGACCGAAAGAAAGAATTCGGCACGAGCCCTACTAAAGGTCTCACAAAGGCCTCAACCCAGAATACCAGAAACTCCAAACTCCATGAACCGTGAGATCTGAGCACCAAGGCTCCTAAACTCCTAAACTCTGAACCCAATTTGTTGAACGAGGTCTCTTTGAAATGCATGATTTCATCGATCTCTCTAACTCCGAACGAATATATAAACCCGAAGCCCAAACCCCTAAACTCTGAACCTAAAACTATCTACCTCTCCTTTACGACGTCGGCTTGGTCTGGCCATACAGAGCCGAGACCCTGCGAAAGCCTCGCGACGGTGCTCGTTGCCCCTGCTGCTGCCACTCCGAAGCGATCAGGAAAAGTCCCCGCCTGCTCGAAGGCGTGGCTTCGCCGCGTAGGGACCGACCTCCGCCTGTCGAGGCTCCCCGGTTCTCCCGCGAATGCTGGCAAGTGGTTCTAGTCGCCAGCAAGCAATACGGTTTGTTGATCACCATCCCCGACCATGATTCCCACACCCCCCCCACAGGATACATTACCTGCTGTGTAACCCCAAGGATAATTAATGTATCCAGCCACCCCTGCACCCGGCTAACGTCCTATGGGGGTCGGAGAGGGCCAAGCTTTGGTGTTCGACTTGCACACTCGCTAAATACGGGCAGGACTTGCACACTCGCTGAACGCAAGCACAGTCGCTGAATGCAGAGGCGGCCTCCCTTGTTTGCTCGACTTTCCACTGTGTCACGCTGCCGGAGACTGGTCGTCGACCTCCTAGGAAGGTCAAAGAAGAAGCCTGATTTTCAAGGCTGTCGCCGGCGCTACCAGAGCCTTGTCGTTCGGCTTTCTTAGGAAAGTCAAAAAAAAAAAACGAGTGCCCCGAAGCTCGGTGGGCGCTGTTTCCTGGAAGATCCTGTAAATCCGCATGCTGTACTCCTTGGCGTGTGCCGCGACGAACAAAGTCTGTCTCTGTCAACGAGGCAAAGACCCGACGGAGATAAGGACACCAAGGAAGAAAGCCCAGCCCGTCGCGTGGAGATCCTCCTCACGCCGGCACACAGGACCTTATTTTCCGCGGTAGGTTTTCTTTCGATACGACACTGGCTCCACGATCGTGTGGCAACAGCCACACGCTGTTGCCTAGGACTCTGAAGCCTGGACGAGGCGACGGTCGCGACCGACCTTCGATTGGAGACCCAACTGCGACTGCGCCCAGCACTGAAGAAGAAAGATTGCGGACCAGTTGCCATCGGCCAGGAGTTTCGGAACGAGTTCCGAGATTGCGGCATGGACCCGGAGGGGATGCGAAAGACCACCAGCCGCGCGCAACAGTAGAACCGGCGTTGCACAGTGGTCGTGGCCTTCGCCCACACGCAGGAACGTGCTGTTCAGTAGCGGCAAGAGAACCTCGAGACATGGGCTCACATGAGCGCGGAACTCCAAGAGGAGCGAGACCAAAGGTTGAGAGCGCAGCGCCGCCCCCATGCTCAGTGCGGAGCGGCCCTCCGGACTGACGCGATTGACATCTGCTCTTGCCAGGAGAAGTGTGGCGACCGATCCGACATCTTCGAATCGGACCGCAAGCAGAAGCGGGCCAGCACGGCGGCGGCCCGTCGTGTTCGGAGATGCCCGCGCCTGTAGCAGCGTAGACACAGCTCCGACTTCCCGTCGCTCGGCCGCCCAACAAAGAGGAAGGCCGTGGTCGCCCCATGCTCCATGCTCCTGCTCGATCAAGAAGGGATGACGCTCCAGGACATTGGCAGCCAAGTCATAGTCGCCCCCGCTAAGGGCACGCCGCAAAAAAAGCGCGTGAGTATCCACGGACGCAGAAGAGTCGTAAGTGATGGCAACCCGATCGCACTGTTCTCGAGCAAATAGTCCCACCGGAGGCATGCGATGGCAAAGCTGTAGAATGATAGCATGTTCGGCTCCAGCTTCACTGAAAGCAACTTCCCTTCCGCTCAAGGAAAAAGACACGGGCAGGATCGCCGGGTGCGGGCCGGCGGCATGGTGCCCATGGATTCGAAAAGCCCGCATGGTCTCTGCATCGTCCCATTGACACGCCAGGCCATGTGGAGAAACCCCGCGAAGGCTGCCCGCTACGGCACAGCGATGGGGGCAGGCTCTAGCATGTAGCAGAATATGCATCATTTGACGCTGCATCTTGGCCACGGATAACAGGAGCGGGCAATATCCGGTGTCCGGCGCGACCGAGGCACCTGCTCGTAGCAGCAGCGTGGTGCAACCGTGCGAGTAGGCCAAGACGGCATAAGCCAGAGGGGTGTGACCACGACTGTCGGGGAAATTAGCATCAGCCCGCAATGCCAAAAGCGCTTCGAAATCGCCTCTGGGCTGTTCCACGGCCAGCGACAGAAGCGGAGCACGCCAGGAAGAGAAATCTTCCACCGGGAGCCGATGATCGACGGCAAGGCGTCCTCGCATGATCAGCATGATGAGAACGGAATGGTGGTGCTGGGCGATGATACGCAGCGTATCATCCCAGATCTCATTTGCTAGCTCCGGCACCTCGTGGTGCATGAGCACTGCCAAGGCCTCGTCCTCGTCCCCACGCTCGAGATAGACGTCAACGGTGACGACCCATTCCAGCGGAGTTAGCGCTGGCTGCACGAAGTGCACGTGCACAAACGCAGACGAAGCCGCTGCTTCCGCGACGTCGCGTCCGTCTTCCTGCAGCTGCAGAAAGATGGGGGCGACGCCAAGAGCACGCCCGAGCTCCCGCATGAAGACCTTCTCGCGCTGAAGCCCCCGAACTGACCCCCGAACGAGGATGGGCGTCGCCCCGAGCCAGTTGGCTAGGCCGTGCAGCAGCCCCGCACACAGATCGCTGGGACGGTCGCCTAGCTGTACTTTTAAGGGCCCAGGCGAAGCCATGGCGACGTGGCGCAGGAGAGCCACCTCGGGATTTAAATCGCTTGCAACCTCGGCTTGGTCTGGCCAGAGAGCCGAGACCCTGCGAGACTCTCGCCCTGCCGCCCACGCATGCTCCGAAACGAGAAAAACGAGCCCTCGGCTCCCCCGCCTCTCCGAGCTCGTATGCTCTGTCGTTCAGGGACGGAGCTCGACCTGAGACTGGCAGAACTCTGAATTCGAGGCAACGCACGTATCGGCTCCACATCGCCTTGACCCGGCCGCAGACACGAGACTCCCCTGCTCCCCTGAGAATGCTGGCCAGTTCTTATTCTCTCTCCAAGCAAGACATTTCCCCGCCTGTCCAGGAGCTCCATCGAGAAAATCAGTAGCTTCGCAGACTGACTGCGTGGAGACGGCCCAGACTGCGAGAGATAAAGCATGTTGTCCCCTTCATACGCAGCATCAGGTTAGCCTGGGCATGGCGCCGAGACTCCCCTGTTCTCCTGAGAATGCTAGCACGTCATGCTCATCGCCACAAAGCAAGACGATTCTCCGCCTCCCCGAAAGCTCTCCATCGCGACAAGCAAAGTGCGTGTCTCTGTCGACAAGACAAGGACCTGAACGGGATAAGCGCACCAAGAAAGAGAGTCCGTCCCGTCGCATGGAGTTCGTCCTCTAGCCTACATGCACGATCTCATTTTCCGTACTCGGTCCTCTTTCGATGTGACACGGACTCCGTGCTCCTGCGGCAACAGCCACGCACCGTTGCCTAGGACCCCGAAGCCAGGGCAAAGCAACGGTCGGAGCCAACCTTCGGTTGGAGACCTAACTGCGACTGCGCCCAGCACTGAATCGCGAAGATCGCTTTCCAGTTGCCATCAGCCATGAACTGCGGAACGAGTTCCGAGAGTACGGCATGGACAACGGAGTGCGGAAGGGCACCAGCAGCACGTAGCAGCAGAAGCGCCGCGGCACAATGATCGAAGCTTCTGCCGCCACCCAGAAACGATTTCTGAAATACCGCCGAGAGAACCTCGGGGCGTGGGCTGACATGAGCACGGAACTCCAAGAGAAGCGAGACCAGAGGAAGATTGCGGAAGGATGCCCCTATGCTCAGCGCGGAGCGGCCGTCGGCACTGACAAGATTCACATCTGCTCGTGCTAGGAGAAGCATGGCGGCCAACGAAAGATCTCCCTGTCGAGCCGCAATAAGAAGCGGGGCAGCAGACCCGCGCGTCACGTTCGGAGATGCCCGTGCCTGTAGCAGCGTACAAACAGCACCAGCTTCGAGCTCGACCGCCCACAAAAGAGGAAGGTTGTTAAAACCCCACGCTCGATAATCCGACATCTGGATCAGGTCAGGACGACGCTCGAGGATGTTGGCTGCCAAGTCATGGTCGCCCCCACTGAGGGCACACCGCAAGGCCAATGCGTGGGCCCGCGGGCACACGGATGAGTTGTAAGTGATGGCAACCCGATCACTGCGTTCTTCGGCAGATAACCCCACCGTTGGCATGCGATGGCACAGCTGTAGCACGGAGGCATGTTCGGCTCCGACTTCACTCAGGGCAACTTCGTTTCCGCTCAAGGAAAAAGACACGGGCAGGATCGCCGGGTGCGGGCCGGCGGCATGGTGCCCGTGGATTCGAAAAGCCCGCATGGTCTCTGAGTCATCCCATTGGTACGCCAGACCGTGCGGAGAAAGTCCGCGAAGGCTGCCTGCTGAAGAGCGCCGATATGGGCACGCCCTCGCATGTAGCAGGATATGCACCATTTGACGCTGCCTCTTGGCCACGGACAACAGGAGCGGGCAGTATCCCGTGCCCGGCGCGACCATGGGACCTGCCCGCAGGAGCAGCGTAGTGCGAGCGTGTGAGTTTGCCAAGACCGCATAAACCAGCGGGGTATGACCACGACTGTCGGGTTTGTTTACGTCTGCCCGCAGTGCCAAAAGCGCTTCGAAATGGCATCGAGGCCCTGCCGCAGTTAGTGAGAGGAGCGGAGCGCGCCAGAAGGAAGCATCTTCCGCCGATAGCCGATGATCAACGGCGAGGCGGCCTCGCAGGATCAGCATGATGATAAGTTTAAAGTGCTGACGTCGGATAGTCGAGAACGTCTGGTCCCAGATGTCGTCTGCCAAGTCCGGCACCTCGTCAT